ATCTATCTATCTATCTATCTATCTATCTATCTATCTATCTATCTATCCATCTATCCATCTATCCATCCATCCAAAGTCCAAAGGAAAGTCAAGAATGTAGGACTGAGGGTTGCAACTCTAAATGTGGGGACAATGACAGTCAAAGGTAGAGCTGGCTGACATGATGCAGAGAAGGAAGGTAGCTGTTTTCTGTATCCATGAGACCAAGTGGAAGGGCAGCAAGGCTCACAGCACTGGAGCAGGGTTCAAACTGTTTTACCATGATGTGGATAGAAAGACAAATGGAGTAGGTGTGGTCCTGATGGAGGAGTTGGCAAAGCATGTAGAAGAGGTGAAAAGAGTGTCAGAGGGAGTGATGTGCCTGAAGGTAGAAGTAGAAGGTCTGATGTTAAATGTTGTCAATGATTATACACCACAGGTTGGATTTGATGTGGAGGAGAAATATACATTTTTGAAGGATCTGGATGAAGTGATAGAGAGTATTCCCAGTGAGGAGAGAGTGGTGATCAGAGCAGGCCTGAATGGACATGTTGGTGAAAGAAACAGAGGGGATGAGGAAGTGATGGGTAGGTTTGGTGTCAAGGAAAGAAACCAGGAAAGACAAATGGTGGTGGATTTAGCCAAGAGAATGGAAATGGCTGTTGTCAACACTTATTTTCAAAGGAGGGAGGAACATAGAGTGACCTATAAGAGTGGAGGAAGGAGTACGCAGGTCGACTACATTATGAGTAGAAAAGGAAACCTGAGAAAGATTGGAGACTGTAAGATTGTGGCAGGGAAGAGTGTGGCCAGACAGCATCGGATGGTTATGTGTTGTGAAGAAGAGAAAAAGAGTTCAATAGTCCCTCGCTACATAACAGTTCATTTTTTCGCAGATTCGCTGTATCATGGATTTTCAAAGTAAGATTGAAAATTTACACAATTGTTTGATTGATGGGTGAGCCTTGGTTTGTTTATTTAAAATAAATTGTTTTAAATGATTTTGCACCATGTGTGAAGCCCACAAGTGGAAGGGAAAGCTCCCTCCTGCAGCTGATCAGCTGATCTCCTTCTCTGCCAGACACACATTTTTCCTGCTGCAGCTTTGCGAAGCATTAACCCTTTGCTATCCTGATCCACTGATTGACTTTTGTCTTCCAATTTAAAATTCAAAATATGTCACATTGTAATATTGCCATAATCACAAAATATAAGTGTTAAAAGTTATTTTTAATTATTTTAGAACTTCTATGTTCAGTTGTTTCAGTGTAATGGGTCAAGAAGTACATTTCTGCTCCGTGCTGCAGAGCTGAAGCTGTGTGACATCATTTGATGTCCTGCTGCACTTCTCTTCTCTACAATTTAAATTTAAATACTGTAACATTTTAAATAAACAATCAATGCTGTATGGATTGTTTATTTAAAATGTTTATTTAAGGAAGGAGATTGGGAGTAACAGGTGATGAGTGTGACTGCAGTCTGACACACGTCATGACAAAATTTACTGAACTTGAACAGAACTTGAAGATGGACTACTGTATCCCTATTTCGTAGTTTTTCACTTATCGTGGGTGGGCAGGGTCCCAAACACCCATGATAAATGAGGGACTACTGTAAGATCCGACCAAATGGTGGAAGCTGAGGAAAGAAGAATATTGCGAGAAATTTAGAGAGGAGCTGTTAAAGGCTCTGGGTGGTAAGAAAGAGCTTCCAGATGACTGGACTACTACAGCAACTGTATTTAGAGAGACGGGTAGGAAGGTACTTGATGTGTCAACTGGACAGAGGATGATGATAAGGAAACCTGGTAGTGGAATAGTGAAGTGCAGGAAGAAATTCAAAGAAAGAAGTTAGCCAAGAAGAAATATGACAGTGAGAAGACTGAAGAGAGGAGACAGGAATATAAGGAGATGCAATGTAGAGGGAGGTGGCAAAGGCAAAACAGAAGGTGTCTGATGAGTTGTATGGGAGGCTGGACACTAAAGAGGGTTAGAAGGACTTGTACCGATTGGCGAGACAGAGGGGTCAGGCTGGAAAGGATGTGCAGCAGGTTAGAATTGTTAAAGATAGGAATGGTAATGTTCTAAAGGGTGGGGACTAAGATGGGAAGATGGAAGGAGTACTTTGAGGAGCTAATGAATAAAGAGAATGAAAGAGAAAGAAGAGTAGAGGTCATAGAAACTGTGGACCAGGAAGTGGGAAAGATTAATAAGGGTGAAGTTCGGAAAGCTCTGAAAAGAATGAAGAAGGGGAGGCAGTAGGACCTGATGACATACCAGTGGAGGTTTGGAAATGTCTTGGAGAGATAGCAGTGAGGTTTTTTAATCAAATATTCAGTTGTATATTTGAGGGTTAAAAATGCTTGAGGAATGGAGAAGAAGTTTGCTGGTGCCTATTTTTAAGAACAAGTGTAATGTACAGCGTTGTAGCAACTACAGGGGAATTAAGTTGATGAGCCACAAGATGAAGATCTGGGAGAGTTGTGGAAGCAAAACATAGATGAGAGGTGACTATCTGTGAGCAGCAGCATGGTTTCATGCCAACAAAGAGCACCACAGATGCCATCTTTGTTTTGAGGATGCTGATGGAGAAGTACAGAGGTCAGAAAGAACTCCATTGTGTCTTTGTGGATTTAGAAAAAGCATATGACAGGGTGCCGAGGGAGGAGGTGTGGTATTGCATGAGGAAATCTGGAGTGGCAGAGAAGTGTGTTAGACTGGTACAGGACATGTATGAGGACAGCAAGACAGTGGTGAGATGAGGTGTAGGAGTGACAGATAGCTTCAAGGTGGAGGTGGGAGTGCATCAAGGATCAGCTCTGAGCCCCTTCTTGTTTGCTCTGGTGATGGACCGACTAACAGATGAGGTCAGGCAGGAATCCCCGTGAACTATGATGTTTGCAGATGACATTGTGAACTATGGTGAGAACAGGGAGCAGGTGGAAGAGAACTTGGAGAGGTGGAGGTATGCACTTGAAAGAAGAGGAATGAAAGTTGGCTGTAGTAAAACAGAGTACATGTGTGAATGAGAGGGAGGCCGGTGGAACAGTGAAGCTACAAGGAGCAGAGGTCACAAAGGTGCAGGACTTCAAGTACTTGGGGTCCACTGTCCAGGAAAATGAGGAGTGTGGTAAAGAGGTGAAAAAGAGAGTCCAGACAGGATGGAATTGATGGAGAAAAGTTTCAGGAGTGACATTTGACAAAAGGGTGTCAGCAAAGGTCAAAGGAAAAGTTTACAAGACAGTGGTGAGACCAGCTATATTGTATGGTCTGGACAGTGGCACTGACAAAAAGACAGGAGAAAGAACTGGAAGTGGCAGAAATGAAGATGTTGAGGTTCTCCTTATGAGTGACAAGGATGGATAAGATTAGGAATGAGATCATCAGAGGTACAGCACAGGTTGAACAACTGGGAGATAAAATTAGAGACTGAGATGGTTTGGACATGTCCAGAGGAGTGACAGTGGGTATATTGGTAGAAGGATGTTAGAAATGCAGCTGCCAGGATAAAGACAAAGAGGAGATTTATGGATGCAGTTAGAGAGGACATGGAGGTGGTTGGGGTGAGGATAGAGTGAGGTGGAGGAGGATGACTCGCTGTGGAGACCCCTGAAGAGGGAAAAGTCGAAAGAAAAAGAAGAAGAAGTTGATCATGATGATGTTTGTTGAGGCTGGTTGTGCGGTTATATATACTGACACACACACACACATACATATATATATATATGTGTGTGTGTTATAATCTTTGGCTTTTATTTATTTGCTTACTTAATTTTTATGGCACAAACCTTGCAAACCTGTACTGCCCTTTACCAAAAGTTAGTCTTTCAGACATCGTTTATAAAACTTGGCTAAATATAATGTGTTTTTAAAGAAAACAAGTGCCGTTGATTTAATCACGGCTAAAGGTCAGTTTGACACATTTTACACCTTTTTTTTATTTAAAAAACTAAAATGTGTTTTTCAAGCACAAGAAAACAATAAAAACACGTTTGACCCAACAAATTCAAAGAACTGGATGTTTCAGGTTTTTTTTTAAACAGGGTTAATGGTTACGAGGCTTTTTATGATTTGAATCGACAACAAATAAGAAATTATCTTCCATCATAATTAGTAAACGTTTGTCCTTTAACAGAAAAAAGGCATGCTTTTTAAAATGTGTCTGAAATTCAATTTTTTGTGGCCTTCAGGCACTTTTATTTTAAAACATTTAGACCACATGTGAACAAGTTTGGAAGTTGATGGTTTAGACATGGGTCAAGTCAGGACCAGGACCAAAGTAGACCGTTGTCATAAAACAGCTGAACAGGCCCTCACACCACCTTCACTTGTCCAAAGAGCCATCTACAGCAGGTAA